ACCTGATGGGTTTGTTTGTTGACCAATCAAGTGTGGGGTATGTGTGTGTGAATGAGAGAACTTAGGGATAAGACCAAGGATTTAGGTTTGAGCTATTGGAAAATGAAGCGCAGAAGACCACAGAAGAACTACTTGGAGTGTGGTGGATATCAGGAGCTCAGCTTTGGCCACGTTGATTCTGAAATGACTGTCAGACATCTGGGTGGCGATGTCGTGTAGGCCATTGGATGTGTGAATTTGGAGTTCCAGGGTGCGGTCCAGGTGAGAGGTCTACTTGGAACAGTATTTACAGCGTGAGCCCGGACAGGCTCACCAAGAGAATGAGTGCAAGTGGAAAAGAGGTTTAAGAATTGTGCCCTGGGGCACGCCAGCCTTCAGAAGTTAAGGACATGGGGGCAGCCAGCCAAAAAGACTGAGAGGTTGTATCCGGAAAGATAGGAGGAACTGCAGGTGTGGACGATATCCTGGAAGCCAGATAAAGTGTTTCAAGGAAGGGTTGGTCAACTGTGTTTCTGATCACATGTTGGCAGGCTGAGTAGGATAAGACTTGAGAAATGACCATTGAATTTTGCAGCATGGGGGTCATTGATGACCTTCAAAGGACCAATTAGAGTGGCTGCCGGCAGAAGCTCTCTGTTGTGCCAAATAGTAACCCTTCAGCTGGTAGACTGTGAGGAAGTCCAGGGCTTGCCAGCGAATGATCCAGGAGGCCCAGGGAGCGGTGGGCCACTGGAGGTGGGGTAGCTGTTTACCAGCTGGTATGGACATAGACCAATAGTTCAACAGTGGTACAGCCCGAATTGTGCATATCAGGGGAGTACCAGCCCTGGTGACCTCGTATTGTTTATGTTTCATATAAACCTTCATGTCCACACTTGGATTTCTCTGCAACATTTCAGGGCAAGTGATATAAAGCCATTTCAAACTAACTGAAGCAAGAAAGAGGGTTCGTCACCTCACATACCTACAGACCCACAAAGGTCCTGCTCCAGGTGTGGCTGGCTCTCCGAGCTCAGTAGGTCCACAGGGCGCTGTGGCTCTCCATCTAGCAGTGACGATTTCCCCTGGGTTGGCTCTGTTCTCAGCAGACTGTCCCAGCATAGCAGCATCAACGTCCCCACAGCTCCAGGCTGACAGTCCGGTACCGAGGAATCCCTCTACGTGAGGGATGCTCTGTCCCAGTGATTTTACCAAAAATCCCCAAAGTGCTTTTCATTTGCCCAAGTTAGGTTGGTCCATCCCAGATCCAGTCAAGTGCTTTCATAGGCCAGATCAGGGTCACATGTCCACCCACCTTCTGGGAGTGGGGTCAGTCCCACCCAACAACATAGACCAAACTGAGAGGGGGGTGGTTCCCCAGAAGAATCAAGGCTCTGTCATCACAAGAGGGGAGAATACTGAAGGGTCAATGAAAGCAGTTGGCCATCCACTGCTCCAAGCAGAGAGCTCCCCCAGGACCACGGCACTCAGGAGCTATACGTCCATTCTCTTTCTCCCCGGAACTTCTCTCTCCTTGCATCAACTTTGACACGAGCCACTTGGCTGACTCCATTTGTCTCTGCAGATCACTGTCTTATAATTATATATGTAATATCACTCAGTGGTCACGTGGCTGTCCCTACAGTTGTGAGTGGACTCTGTCCATCCCTGTTCTGCTGTTCTCAGATTGTCTGTAGGGATGTTTTGCCCCAGCGATGCATACCTTTAGCCACACAGGTAAGCTTCTAAATTTCTGTCCCAGATAGGGAGGGAGCAGCAGAGGAAGAACGCAGAAGAGGAGCTAAATCGTAGCTATGGCCACTAAGCTGGGGGTCTGTATAAAAATGACCGTCAAGTGGCAGGAAGATAATTCTCGATCTGGGGATGAGTCAAATGGGTGGAAATTACTCCTAACTCAATCATAAGGATGACCCTGGACACCAGCTTACGCACCACCTCACACCTGTGGGACAGCTGGTCACTGTGCTCATTTTACTCGAATTGTGTTTATCTTCTCCATCGTGGCCAGTGAGCCCATTGGAGCAGGCTCTTCCAGGGCCATTCTCTGCCTGCCTGGCACAGCCCCAGCGCAGCTCCAAGCACAGAGACCCTTGGGAAATATAAAATGGGAAAGCTGCCAGTGTCAATTGGGAACAGTGCACAGTGCTCCAGAGAAATGCAGAGAAAAGCTCACGGAAGATGAGCTTCAACGGAATGAGGAAGCCCCAGTGAGAGTGCTGGTCCCAGGCTCTGAGACCATGTAAGCCACCAGAGCACATGGCAAGACTGCTACAGCAGCCAGCTGTGGGCTTTGAGACCAAACTGACTTGGGCTCAGAGTGGGTGCTCGATAAATGTTATCATCCCTTTGCTTAGTTTCAGAATCACCTGGTATGTATTTTAGGCATGTTTCTGGAACGGTTGATTGAAAACAGGTGGGTGGTTGTGCTCTCAGCTCTTTTGCATCTCTCCTTGCCAGCCCTTCTCCCACCAGCCACATTGTGCCTTCAGGGGCTTCAGGGAGGGAGGGCAACAGTGGCCCCCAGCCTTAGGAGGGCTTGGCTGGCCGTTGCCACATGCCTGGAATGAACTTGGTCATTTTCCAGTTGGATTACCAAGGGCAATGCCTGGTTCCCACAGTGAGTCTTGATAAACGCCTAGCTGCTATTCGGATGCTGGCGCACATGAGCTTCTCATCTCTGAGGGAGGTGCGTGGTCCATCCTGAAGGTTTTCAACTGGCCCAAGATGCTTGACTTGGGCTACAGGTTTTCATAACTTCAACCTCCAGCTCTTGGTGACTGATGTGGCCCCTCTGGAGGCCATCCAGGAAACCAGAGCTTTTGGGTACCAGAGTTTTGCCTACAATTCCAGTGGCAATGGCTGCTTCTGTAACTGAATTCTGAGGAGGATCTGTGGGCCCAAATCCCAACTGGAGAATACTTGCAAAGCCCTGGATGAACTTGGAACCCATAATCCATCTGTGTGTCCCCCTGGTACAAGACTAGACCATTCTGAAGGCAGCATGGGGCATAGTCAGACATCCGTGGGGAGCCAGGCTCTGCAGGGCTGTAGGGGCTTCTGATATAAAGCCAGCCGGAGCCCTTGGGTGAGTGTCTAGATGGCTCCACCATGTTAGACACAGGCAGGCTCTGCTGAGATGTGAGGGGGACCAGGTGGAAAAACAGAAAGGCTATATCCGAAGTCAGGAGTGGGCGGCCAGTTGAGAATGTCCATGTGAACAAACACACATCCTTAGACTTAAGTTATCGGTACCCTTCCACAAAGGGTTGAAAACAGCTTCAAAATTAAATATACAATACAATGATCCTTTAAAAGTTACCTTAAAACTCCTTTAAAGGAGAAAAAAAAATAGATATGGTCAGGTGCCTAGAGTGATTGAGTTACTCAAATTGTCCTGAAACTAAGAAAAACAAAACAGTTGTGCTGGCTTACATCATTTTCCAGGGACAGATAAGAAGAAACAGAGGGTTTCTGTGACCTTTTTTTATTTTTCTGGAACATTCTTTCTCTTGGTGCTGAATATCAAATTTGTCCTTGTCTAAAGAGTAGTGGGTCCCAAGGAAGGCAATTTCTCTTTTTATAAAAGATGAAAAGAGACCACTACAGAGTGTAATAATTTTCTGTATTGATTCTCTGAAAAAGTAGGGCCCTGACATCTGGACTTATTTCTGGACAGACATTTCTCTGGGACGCTAGCCTGACCTGGCTCAGTTAGCTTGCTTCCCAGTGGTCTCAGTTCATGTTGAGCCCAGAGCTGAGAAAACTCAGAGATGTGCAATTCTAGGATGCCTGTCTGGCTCTTGCTTGCTCAAGTCTCTGTTGCACACAGGTCTGGGATGCTCACTTGCCGTGTCACCAAGGCAAGAGTGTCCCTGGGCCAGACGAAGCTGTTGAGCGTAAGGCAGTGCTTGTGTTTGGGGCCTGCTTGCATCTGGGTGTTTGTAATTTCTTAAATGTTCTATTGTACAGCTTCCTTAAATATAATGTGTAGGGTGAAACTCATTTCTTGGTGAGAAGTTGAGTGTCAGAGTTTCCTTTATAGTTTATCTTTGAATGATAATGAAGGACAGAGAACTTAGAAAACCAACCATAAGAAGCTATAAATTCCCCAAAGATGATCTTCCGGGATGATCAGTCACACCCGCAGAGGCAGCACTGATGGCCACATGGGGGCTAAAATTCAAGTACCCCTCCTCCCCACCACTTCTGCTCCTTCAGCCCTGCCCATCAGAGGTCAGCACTGTTGATCGGCTGGCAGGCTAAGAATCTGTAATGTACATGATCACTTTCATAAAGAGAACTTCAGCTCCACCACTGGGGAGAGAACCCTGCTCCTTGGGCTTCTCGGTAAAGCACAAGGGAGGGCAATTGGAGAGACTCAGACCCCCAAGTTTAGAGCAGAATTGCTAGAACCAGAGGTGAACTAAACAACCTGGTGGGGTAATGAGCGTCCCAGCGTTTAGAAGCTTTTCACATTCTTGGCTCAATGGGCACAGGCAACAGAGCTCGGTGACCTTCAGTAGGTGGTGCTCAGACCTTCCATATTACTCTTTGTCCTTCTTGCTCATGTCTCCTCTTGGCTCCATCCTTAGCCATGACCTTAGACCCATTTCTAGGCAGAAGCCTGACTTAAGCCCCACTCTCTGCACCAAGCCTGGTGTCCTTCCAGTAACACCCAGTCGTGTTGCTTCCATGAGGGTAGGGGCAGGGGTGTGAAAACTCAGAACTGTGAAGAGAGCAACTTGCTGGTTCCAGGTCCCCCACCCTACTTGCTATTTGTGCCCAGCCATCACCAGAGCCCCTGGAACATGGATAGAGAATCCATGCATTGTCTTTTCATTATTTCAGCATCTTTCTTAGGAATCTTCAAGGACAAAGTCAACGGATAACTTTAGATTGGTCCACTGAACTGAGGTTGTGGTCCTCTTTCTCGTGAAATGCCTTAACTCTGGGATGGTTGAGGAACGTTAAGGTTGTCATCAATTAGCACTTGGCAGATGTACAAGGATCTGTTTATTGCTGCATCTAGGCTGCAAGATGGTTTTTAATTTTTTTTATTTGAAAATAACTATGGGTTCACAGGAAGTTGCAAAAATAATACACGTAATTTCCCACAATGGTTACATCTTATGTAACTATAGTAAATTTCAAAACCAGGAAATCGACATTGGTACAATATGTGTGCATAGTTCTGAGTCATTTTATCATACGTGTAAACTCATGTAACCACCACCACTATCAACATACATGATGATTTTTATCACTACAAAGACATCTGTTGTGCTACCAGTTTATGGTCATGCCCGCACTCTGCCACCCCCATCAGGCTTAAAGTCTGGTACCCACTCATCCGTTTTCCATCTCTATTTTTTCATTTAGAGATTGTCCTATAAATGGAATCATAGAGTATGTGATCTTTGGAGATTGGCCTTTTTTACTCATAATAATCCCATTGAGATCCATCCACGTTGTTGGCTGTATCATTGGTATCATCCTTTTCATCTCTGAGTAGTATTCCATGATATGGCTATGCCAGAGTTTTTTTAACCATTTGTCTATTGAGGAAATTTGGCTGTTCCTAGTTTGAGCCTTTTACAAATAAAGAAGACTGTTTACATTTAATGTAATTATTAAAATGATAACAGATAAATCTGCCATATTATTTTTTGTTTCCTATTCTTTTCCCTGTCGTTCATTTCTCTTTTTTCTTTTTCCTGCCTATCTGTGCATTACTGAAAGACTTGTTAAAATTCTACTTAGATTTGTCTATAGCATTTTTGAGTATATTTCTTTATATGAATTTTTTGTATAAGTTTTAGTTGCTGGAGGTGTTGCATTATATATAATTGATCACAGGCGACTGGTGTTGAGGTTTTAACAGTTCAAGTGAAATGTAGAAACCCTAAGTCTTTAAGTCTTAAAGTCTTCTTCTAAATCTTGGCCTATAATTCTTATCTATCATTTTATTAAATATTTCCTTTCAATACCTTAAGAAAACCATACCAAATATTTCCCAAAGTCATTTTCACACGCAGATGTCCTAAAGCAAAGAGAGACAAAGTGAACGTAAGACACGAGTCAGTGGCTTGGCCAGCACCAGAGAGCCTGGCTTCCAGAACGTTCCCCTGCCGCGCTCTCTCTTCTCCCGCAGAGCTGTTTGTTCTTGTTGGCTGACTAGTCTTCAGGTTTCGGCCATAAGCTACTCTAGGGAGATGCTGAGCATACCCTGCGGATGGAGACACAAGGCTGAGGCAGTTACTCCAGGTCATGGGGGCAAAACACAGCAAGGGCAGAGGTCAGACGGGGGTCACCTAGGTCATGCCCGGCTTTCGGAGGAGGTGGTGACTGGGTTAGCGTGAATAGGGTTTTCATTCTATGAGGAAAGAGAAATCCCATGGTCTTCCTATCAAGTGTTTTGAGACCTAATACAATTTCCAGGAAATAAAAGTGACTGGTATTTTAGAGCATGAAGGAATGTCAACATCAAACCTTTTCCCTGACAGAAAAAGAATTAAAATGTAGAAGGCGACTCCCGATGATCTCTATCACCAGGCTTTGCTTCATCCGCCTGCCAGGGTTTCCTGGCTGACAAGGCGTCTAACGTGAACATTTCCTGCAGCAAGTCAAAGCCCCCGCCCGTTTAGTTCTCAATCCTGGTGAAGTTCAGTGCCCTTACGACCCCTTCCTGAGACATGGCCAGAAGCATGAAAGCGTAACAAACACCGGGGTGGAGAATGGTACATCAGTGTTACCTTGCATGCCCACCACTCAGTCGGCAGTGAATCCAGGAGAGGTGGCTGGAGAAGGACTTTGAGGACCAAGTGCAGTGGGAGAAGTGGGCTGTGATGGAGCAGGAGACGGAGTAGAGGGGCAAACCCACGGCCTTCCAAGGGGCACGGGGAGATCTTTTATCTTAACTCCTGTTCTTTGCTCATCTTTTTTTATGACTAAGAAGGGAACACTCATTCTAAAGAAAAAGTGTCTCAAGGGGGAGGAATGGAAATGGGCGGGACCCAAAATAACAAGCCACCCCTCCCAGTTTGGATCATGTGCCCCTGCGTGGATTCTGTCCTTCCTGGGTCAGAGATGAAGCAGCTAAAGTAGCAGGATGGCTGCCTTAGGGAATTGTTCAAGGCCCAACAGCCTAGTGGTGGCTCCTGAGCCTAAGACACAACATCTCATCAGGCACTTCACACATGCAACCACTCTGTTCATCTTCCAAAGGGCTTCTAATAAATTACTTCAGACATTAAATGCAGAGAAAAATGTAAAGATGATACTCAGTGCTGGCAAGGGTGCAGTGAAGCGGGTTCATTTGATGGCAGATATATAAGTATGTGTAAACTTTTTACAACTACTTGATAGTATGCATCAAAAATTATTTTAAAAACCACACCCTTTAACACAATATTTGCAATGATGAAGCTATACCAAGGAAATAGTGCAAAATATGTTAAAAATCTTAATCATGCAAGCATTCATCACAGAACTATTTCTATTAGTGAAAAACCAGAAACAACTTAAATGCCTAACAGTGGCTTATAGTTATGTATATCCATGTTTAACTATTTCGCAGATATTTTAAATTATGGTTATTAAGACTGCGTAACAGCATGGGTTTCAAAGCAGGATAAAAATGACGTGACTGCTATAATTTTAACTACATATAAAAATAGACACAGAAAAATAACCAGTAAAGAAACCTGTCAGTATTGTAGCTGGCTTACGTGGTGGAACTGTGGATAGTTTAAGCTGTTATATTTAAAACTGTGTTGTGGCTTTGTTACTTTTATGATGGAAAACATTTAGTAAAGGGGAAAGCTGAAAAAGGGATTTTGAATCTCGATCCTCAGAGATTTTGGAAATATGGTAAAGTTGTCACAGCTAAGCATTGCAAGGGAAGATAAGCAGTGAGGAAGGAAGAAAGGAACTCTGCTGTCTGCTGTGGTTAAAATGTGAACAATAAGCTGGTCCCACTGAACAAAGGGACATCCCTTAGGGCTTTCCATTGACCTCTCTGGAACTTGCCACCAACACGGGAAAGTCTTGATTTTTCGAAAAAAAAAAAAAGCTTTCCTAAGGATTTCTTTCTTTTAGGCCATGTGAAGGTGCGAGTGAGTGGTACAGAGAAAGCTCTCAGCTACTGTGAGGAGTGACTCTGCCCTTGTCACTTCTGCCAAAAGATCTAGTGTGACCAGGGACACTGCCCAAGGTGGTACTGAGCACTGACTTCTCTGGAGTACCTACTCTGTGTGCCACCTGCTTTCGATACACAGCGACCTTTGGGATTGGAGCCAATGTCACTGCCCCTTTACAGATGAGGGAACCAAAGCGAAATGAGATACCCAAGAGATGGCAAGCAAGAAGCAGAGCTTCCCTGGACTTAGATCTTCCAACTCCAGAATCTTTGGCTCTTCTTTATACCAGGCCAGCCCTGCACATCATCCAGCCCTGATCTCGTAACTTCCTCAGACAGTGACGTTCTGCCCTGTCTTCTTTCAACTGATCTTTCCTAAAGGTTGCATAGGGCGAGCCAAGCTTCCCCTCACTGGACATAGTCCCTGCTCCTAGCACCATGCTTAATACCGTATTTATTTATTGACTGCATCAACCCATACCTGCACCCATTCTTCCTCTTTCGGACTCCCACAAGGGTCCGAAAAAGCGTTGGACATAATAAGATGGACGTGCAACCTCATTCATTTACAGCCAGTCATAGGCTCCAAGTTTAGTCTAGAAAGCCCCCAGAGCAAATGATGCAAGCGCAGATGAGAAAAAGATGGTACTGCTTTGAGCCCAAGATGTCACCTGCCAATACTCAATGATAATATCTGTCCAGCTCTGTGGCCCAGGTTTATCCCCTTCCCAAACTGAGTGTCTGTCTGCCCTCCTACCAACCCATGCTCTGAGATTCCTGACCTTTGAAGCCCTGACCCAAAGCCTTCCCACAGGACAAGCCCACATTCGGGAGCTGATGGTTGGTTCTGAAATGTATGTGCTCATGAGACTAAGAGTGTGCTGGCAGTATCAGGTGCCCGAGCCACCAGCTGTAAGCAGGAGAGTTCTGGGGCAGAAGAGAGATGGATGGCCCTTTTCTGACTCATCGTGCCTGTATGTGTGGGTGTGCACATGCAGAGAAGAGAGAAACGTGCGGAATGGCAAAGAACGAAAAGCCCGTCAGTCAACAAAATCACAAGGCAAGGAAGTCGGCAGAGGTGTTTTATGGGCTAGGCTGGAGGAGCTATTGCAGTCATGGGGGAGTCCCTCAGTTTCCTGGGGAGGCCACCCACTGCCATCTTCCTTCCCTCCCTTTTCCCTTCCTGCCCCAGGATCAGGGTCCCAGGTCACCTCCACTCCTCCTGGGACTCCTTGGCCATGGAGTTGGGCGCGATCAAACTGGAAAAGATGGCCTTTCTGGGTGTCGCTGTGGCCATGTTCTTTATTTTGTTCAGCTTGTCCCGGGCCAGCTGGCATTTTCTCAGGCAAGGCCCACACAGATCCTTCTCATCCACTAGATGTAAGTTGTCCAGCCTTTTGATGGAATCTACGAACGTATCCGACTCTTCTGGTTTGGGAAAGGGGTTTCGCTTCGTGTTCAGCTTTTTCAGCTTCGGGAGCTTGACGATGCTGTGGGGAATGCTGTTCAGCAGGTTGTCGTGGAGGCCCACCTCATGGAGCTCCTTCAGAGCGCCCAGCGTGGTGGGCACGCTGTCCAGGTGGTTCAAGCCGAAATTCACAGTGCGGATGTTCTTGAGCTGGTTGAGCTCCACTGGCAGCCCGTTGGTGGTCAGCCTGTTGTTGCTGACATTGAGGTAGAGCAGAGTAGTCATCTGGCCAATGGACTCGGGGAGCTTGTCAATGTAGTTGCTGTGCAGGTCCAGCCATCGTAGATTCTGGAACTTGGAGATGGAGTCAGGGATCTTCCGAATCAAATTCCGGCTGAGGTCGAGCTCGTCCACATCATTCAGTCGCAGAATACACTTGGGAAAGTTGGTAAGTCCCATCTTGCTCAAGTCAAGGCGTTTTCTCCCATCAAATGTGACTTTGATACAATTCTTGGCCACCTTGAGGGTGATCTTCTTGCCCTTGGGGACTTTCCCGCCCTTGGCCATGTTGTTTTAGTGAGGGAGTATGTCTGAAGTATGTTGTTCTGATCGGGAGGTGATTAGTTTGAGGAAAAAGTCACATGAAACTGCTAGAAGATATACTCTGATGGGAAGAAAAAAATATCTAGTTAGGAGGTGCTATAAGTGTACTGGATTCCCCCCGAATCACAGTGTTTTGCTCCTTAATAGTTTAAAAGGAGAGAAAGAGGAGAGTGGAGAGAAGTTAGGGCATCAACAGAAGTAACCTAGGCAAAGACCTTCAGCAAACTCAACGCCCTCTTCAGATCTCAGTGTTCTGAGATGTAAAATGGGAGGCTCAGGGCTGGCCTGAAGGATGCTCGATGCCCCTCCGGCTGTGCCATTCCCTAACTTAGGAATCTCCCCATGGTCCTGGACTTTCACATATTCCTTCCTCCCCTTGCCCGGGGCCACGTGTGCATGTGTGTTCTTGGAAATTACCACTTGCCAGACCCTCACATAAATCTAGGGTTTCCTTTGAGTTATCCCACCAATTCCCGGGGTGGGTCTGCTGAGTTCTCAGAAGCAGCATAGTCTGGGTATAAGGGAGTAAGGTGGGAGTTAAGACGGACTTAAGCATTACATCTTTCTTGACCTTCTGAGCGCAGAGGAACCAGTCAGGCCTTGGCTACTATACCTGCAGGGTAACAGGAGCAGCACAGAAAAGTCTTTTGCTCAGCCCACGAGTAAGAGGATGTGCCTATAACATGCCCATGAGCATGGAGGGGGCCAGGGTTGAGCCTGGCAGAACATAAAAGAGAATGCTGCCTTTTCCCACCTCCCGCCCCCCTCCCTTCCTCCTCTTACATCCTTCACACTGAAATTCACCCGTAGACCCCTCCGCGTGGATGGGCGTGTGATAGTTATGACTGCACTGTACGGAGAAGCAGGAGGTACAGCGTGAGGGGTAGATTCTGGCCTCAGGATGCTTGGTGTAGAAATCCAGCTCTGCCACTAACTACTCTCTCAAATTATCAGTGCCTCAGTCTCCTCATTTGTGAAAACAGTCCCCTTACAGGGCTCTTAGGCATTGTAAATGATCTAAACCATAAAGTGCTTACAACAGGCCCTAGCACACAGTATAAGCTTGATTAATGTTAACTGTTAAATATGATTGTCAGGAGCTTTGGGTATATTGATTTGAATCCTCAACAACCCAGCAAGAGCCATAGAATTATCCCCATTGTAAAGGGAGGAGGACTGGGGCTGGGGAGTGAGGCAGGTCTGCCGCTCGAAGACGATGCAGACTGTTCTGTCCTGGCCTAGAGGCTCTTTTCTTTTCTAAATCTTTGTGTCTCTTGCTTGCTGATTTTCTATTTCGGACCAAGCTCCCACGGCAGACAGAAGTGTGCTGTCAGGAGGCAAATGCTTGTGTTGCCTCCATGTCCCCCCAGGGGTGGGCGGGAGGGGTGCCCTGGCGTTTCTGTACTTCATCATTCAGGCCCTTTATCAGGAACGAAGTTCATACGACACATGAAGCGCCAGCACTCAGCTGTGTGAGCCCATTATCACGTTCTCCTCATACAATAATCCTCAGTGTCAAGGGGACGTGGGTAAAAATTGCCTTCCGCTTACTATAATTGCTTACGATGAATCCCACTACAGTCATGGGCCATATAACGATGTTTCAGTCAACGACAGACTGCATGTATGACGGGGGTCCCGTAAGATGAGTACCATACAGCCTAGGTGTGTAGTAGGCTATACCATGTAGGTTTGTATAAATGCACTCTGTGATGTTCACACAACCACGAAATCACGTAACGCATTTCTCAGAATGTGTCCCCACCCTTAAGCGATCCATGACTGTATTGCCACTCCCAGGTGAAGGTCACAGGGTCGCACTCTGGCAAGTGCTGCTGCGTCAGACCCTCTTGGGATGGATGGAGGTCTCTATGGTGAGGCATTGAGAGTGCTCTCAGCTCCCAGCAGCATTGCGTTCTTTTGAGCAGGACTTGTAAGCTGAACCTGTTCTTTAAAACAATGGACCAACCACATTCATGCATAGTTGGCTGGTCACCAAAGGCGGGCCTGTGTTCACCAGAACTGAAGTTTCTATATGATGCAGCTCTGAGGAACCAGATGGGATAAAGCAGCTTAAAAATGACAGCTGGGGTTCCAGTCACAGTTGGGATGGAGTAAGTGCCCTCCGTCCCATCTCGCTCATTGAATGCAACTGAAGACTCTAGACAGTGTGTGCCAGCTGCTCTCTCAGTTCTCTGAAGAGAAACAGACAGACTGGAGATGGAACTCAAAAGTAAGACCAGCTTTGCACTGGGGATGATAGAATGATTTCCAAGAAAAGCTTTTCTCCCTGGCCAAGGAACAGGCAAGGGGGCCTTTTCGGGTCAGCGAGAGTGAAGCAGATCTGTTTTTTCTTGGTTTGTTTTTTCCCTTCTCTCCCGCCTCAGCCCCGGGCACTCCTGTATCGCTGGAGTCAGCCAGGCCAGGCAGGCACTGAAAACTGAGGGAGGAAAACAGTTGTCACTGACAAACTGTGGTCCCAAGAACATGGAGGTTGTTTTTTTTCTCTCTGTCCTACTGCTACTTGGCCCTGGAGGCAGAAACAGTGGCAGAAAGTATACAGCAGATTTAGAAACAAAATCCTGGATTTCTAGTCAGCAGACCACGGTTGGGGGTGGGGGGGGCGGGGTTGCATCTCCTGGGGAGGCACAAAGTATTGGAAAGATTGCAAAGAGGTGGGAGTTTAATAAAGTTGTATATGAACTTCTGCATGTGCCCTGAGCTGGATGAAACCCTGAACAGAGTCTTTAGTACCCTGAACCCAGGCTTTGAGACTTGAGCTAAGAGCGAGACCACTGTGCAGGTTCCAGACTCGTGCCTGAGGGGTAACATGAGGGACTGATTCAAAAGGCACTGGCAGTTCTTTGAAAACTGAAAGGACATTATAACCACAGTCTGTAGTATCTACAGAAGGTTTGCCAGAACTTGTAGCCTGTGGTTGCCTGCTAAAACATATATAGATCCATGTTGATATCGATATATGGATATATCCTAGAAGAAGGACGGGAAAAAAGAGTTGTGGTGCAGAAAATTTGAGGGAAAATGGATAAAAAACTTCCAAAAGTTGGTGAAAGACATAAAAATTACAGCTGCAGGAAGCTCAGTGAACTTCAAATAGGATAAACTCAAAGAAATCCACACTTTGACACATAATCAAACTGATCAAAATTAAGAAAAATATTTAAAAGCTGCAGAGAAAAATGACACATAACCTACAGGGGAACAGCAATACGAAAGACCACATGTTTCTTGTTAGAAACCGTGGAAGCGTAAGGTACTGGAAAAATCTTTTTTAAAGTGCTGAAAGAAAAGAATTATCAACCAAACAGTGGATAAAGGCATCCTTTATGAACAAAGGCAAAATAAAGACAGTCTCAGATGAATGAAAAATAAAAGGATTTGCCACTAGCTGAGCCGTTGTGAAATAAATGCTAAAGGAAGTTCTTCAGATGAAAGGAAAACAATGCAGTGGTCCCCCCTTAGCCACTGGGGTATGTTCTAAGACCCCCAATGGCTGCCTGAAATGGCAGAAGGTACCGAATCCTATATATACTATGTTTTTTCCTATGCATACATACCTGTGATAAAGTTTAAAAAATTAGGCATAGTGAGAGATTAACAACAATAACTAATATCAAAATAGAACAGTTATAGCAATATACTGTAGTAAAAGTTGCCATAGATCTTAGCAAACTCGGCATCCAATTTTTTTTCATATTATGTCGAGAACTTTCACCTTTTCACTTAAAGGAAGCGCCTTACGGCTTCTCTTTGGTGTGTCCCAATTGCAAGCATCGCTTTGGGGTCGTTGTTAAGTAAAACGAGGGTTACTAGAAGACAAGCACTGTGCCACCATGACAGTGATCTGACAACTGAGATGGCTGCTAAGTACTACCGGGCGGGTAGCATAAACCATGCAGATACACCAGACAAAGGGGTGATTCAGGTCCCAGGCAGGACTGAGCAGGACCGCGTGAGGTTTCATCGTAGTACCTAGAATGGTGCGCAATTTAAAACTTAGGAATTGTTTATTTGTAGAATTATCCATTTGATATTTTTGGACCGTAGTTGACTGCAGATAACTGAAACCTCAGAAAGAAAAGTCACGGAGAACGGGGGACTACTGTACTAGAGAGAAACGTGGACTTTGGGAATATGTGGTAAATACAGTAGACTATTTTTCTCCTTTTAAGACCTTTAAAATATGTGTGGTGGTTGAAAGTAAAAATTATGACACTGTCTGATGGGGTTTTCAGTGTATGTACATGGAATACATATGACGACTACAACATAATGGGGGATGTTAATGGGACCTATATGGTACAGGTAAGGTTTCGCAATGCTTTTGAAGTGGTAAAATGTTAATTTTAAGTAGGTGTGGAAAATTATGTATACTTTGATCTCCAGAGCAATCACCAAAACAATATTTAAAGAGACACAGTAAAAAACTAAATATATAAATTAAAATGAAACAGTAAAAATAATTCAGATGATCTAAAAGAAAGCAAGGAAAGGGAAATGAGACAATCAAAAAACTATTAAAACAGTAGACCTAAATTCAATCATATCAATTTGACTCACATTAAATGAAAATGACTTAAACAAACCAATTAAAAGCATAATTATCAGAATGGAAAATAAAAGAAAAAGACCCAATTATATGCTATCTATAAGAAATCTACTTTAAATAAAAGTTAAACTAAAAGAATGGAAAAAGACCTACTATGCAAAAACTAAAGGGAAACTGGAGTGACTTTATTGATATCAGGCAAAGTATATTTCAGAGCATGAAAATTTACCTGAGATTAGAAAGAACACTACATAATGATAAAAGGGACACTGTACCAAAAGATACAAAAATCCTAAATGGGGATGTGCTTAACAACAGAGCTTTGATATAAATGAAGCAAAAACTGATAAAATGGAAAAAAGAAATGGACAAATCTATAATTAGAGTTGGAGACATCAACACTTCTCTGTTAAAAATCAGTAAAACAAGTAGAGAGGAGATCAACAAAGAACAGGGTTTCTCAACCTTGGCTCTCTTGACATTTGGGGCTG